AAAGCTAGTCGAGCCTTCTGTATCCGTGCTGAGATTTCGTCACATACTAAACCACAAGGGCTGATGAGACTTCCAAGATAAGTGAAGCGATCGACACGCTCAACTACTTCACTCCCTATCATTAGTTCGGGTGTCGATGCAACCCAATCCTGAAGCAACATTTTGCATTTCGAGGGAGAGAATCGCATCCCGAACATGCTTGCATTGTTGCTTAGAGTGGTCAGAAGACTCTGCATTTTGTCAGCGTCTTCACCAAATAAAACTATGTCATCTGCATATTCTAAGTCAACAAGTGAACCTCCTGGTAGAAGTTCAACCCCTGGAAATTTAGATGAGGAGAGTGTTATCTCTAAAAGTACGTCGACCACAAAGTTGAACAAGAATGGGGAGAGTGGACAGCCCTGACGAACACCACTTGAGGTAATCAATTCTGATGACAGTTCGCCATAAGCTCTCACTCTACCAGTTGTGTTCGAGTAGAGAGCCTTTACAAGGTTAATGTACTTCTTTGGTACTCCTTTCAGTGACAAACACTGCCATAGAACCTCACGATCAACAGAGTCGAATGCCGCCTTAAGGTCGAAAAATACTACCATTGTGGGGCGTCTGAATGTGTGTCTGTGTTCTAGAACCTGACGTAGTGTGAATATCTGATCTATACAACCACGTCCAGGTCGAAAACCAGCCTGGTTTTCTCTAGTCTGCTCTTCACGAGCTTAGTTAGGCGTCGAAGTATTATTGAAGCTAATATTTTAGACACTATATTAGTCAAACTGATTCCTCTGTGATTGTCACAAGAGGACTTTTGTCCTTTCTTATAGACTGGCACAATCAGTGATTGAGACCAGTCAGATGGGATTACGTCCAGTTCCCAAATTCTACCTAAGACCTCAGTTAATCTCATTGCTAATACTGGACCACCATCCTTAAAAATCTCAGGAGTAAACCTGTCAGGGCCTGCTGCTCTCCCTCGTTTCAGATTTCCTATGGCTTTTTCAACTTCGTAAAGAGACGGAGGACCTACATTAACTTGCCATTCAGGTTGACTAGAGATCGTGGGAAACCGAAGTGTGGCTGAAGGCCAGTTGAACTGATCCCTAAAGTGTTCTGCCCATCGATCCAATCTCCTGGATTGAGAATGAATAATATGTCCATCTTTTTCTGAGATTGTTTCGCTAACGGTCGGGTTCCTAATTCCGGTTTCCTTAACGAGTCTGAACAATTGTCTGCTATTACCTATTGCCGCTGCCTTTTCCATCTCTCTTGCTTTCGCTACCCACCACTGTTCGCGATCATTGCGTAGACTTCTTGTCAGCTTGCGCTTAAGCTGACTCCGCTCTTCATTATGTTCAGAGCCAGGTGGAATGAGTTTCCGAGCATCTATCAGTGCGATAGATGCTGCTGAGATCCAGTGTTGCTCCCTAACCTTCTGGTTTACCTTACTAGCAGATATCACTGCTGTTTCCACAGCTTTTCGGATATCATTCCATGCTGCATCGGGGTGGGCATCACATACATGGCTGCCTAACTGTTTTCCTAGTTGTTCCTGAAATATACTCTTAGCTTGACTATCATTAAGTAGGCCCTAAGAGGTTTCCTTGCAGCGTCTTTCCTACGTCCAGTAAGACGCAAGCAAATACGCGCTCGCACTAGAGCATGATCTGAATCTAGGCATGTGCTCCAGAATGAGCGACAGTCTTCTATCGAGCCCCTCCATCGGTGGCTGATAGCGATGTGATCTATTTGGGTCCAACGTTGGGACGAATTAGGGGGTCGCCATGTTAAAAGATGTTTTTCCTTATGCTTAAAGTTAGTATTTGCAAGGAACAGGCGGTTATCTGAGCATAGCTGCAACAGACGGTCGCCATTATCTGTTCTTTGAGCCACGACACCATAAGATCCACCTAGGTGTCTTTCCGTTTCGCTTAGTTTGCCTACTTGAGCATTAAAGTCACCGGCCACTATTACTACATCCGAGCGCCTAGCTTTTCGGAGAAGGTCCGAAAGCTTTCTGTAAAACTCATCTTTTACATCATCTGAGCTGCAGTCAGTGGGAGAATAGGCAGAGACGACGAAGAGGCAACGACGAGTGTCCCTATCTTTCCGGATTCTTACTGTTCCGTTCAGTCGGACAGCGCACAAACGACTGTCTACTGGGATCCACTCTAAGAGAGCTAGTTCTGCCCTAGGACTCAATGCTATACCTACGCCGGCGAGGCCACGGGAAGCAGAATCAGGGCTTCCAGATACACGAAGCGTAAATCGAGTCGGTTCTTTATTTTGGCATGGTGAGGTCAAATGAATGACGCTACTCGGATCCTGTATGCGCGTTTCGGAGACGCAGCACACATCGATGGCGCGAGATTCTAAAGTTTTAGCTAAGGAAGCCTGCTGTCCTATTTGGCAAAGTGTTCGTACGTTAAAAGCTCCTACGTGTAGTTTAGAGCGTGGTTTCAGGAGACCAGGAATGGCGTTCCACGTACTCGAATCGTTTGCCCTAGCGGTGCGAGGTGATAAAGAGACGTGAGGAGGGTTAGTCATGGAGATAAGAGAGGTATTAGGAGGTGTAGGAAGGATTTGAATGTGACCACCTTGGTCTCTTGTGCTGTTACGGGTATGAGGGCTGATGTCACTTCCCGGCTGCCCACACCGTGGAAGGGTATTTCTTGAGGAACCTGAAAAGGAAATTGGATTAGTGTTGGTCTTGACGACCTGGGAGCGTGACCGCAGAGCCCAAGGGACAACTGCTTGAGGCCGGTCGCGCACGGCCTTTTTGTGGAAGGTTTTTGACGTGTTAGCTCCGTTCTTCAAAGGGCCTTACCGCCGGAGACGGAAATCCGTGAGGTAAGGTGAGGTGTGACATTTTTAGGGTCGACCTTTTCTAACCCCACCCCTCCTTGTGGGAAGGCAGCATCGCTGTCATGCTGGTTGTCCGAGGGAAACACCTTACTGCTGTCACACCTCTGTACAGTCAGCAGTACGACTTCGCCCTCAGACCTTGAGTTGCTGCTTTTAGTCTTACCATTCTCCAATCGACCTGCCTGGCATGGGAGAACCTACAGGAACATATTTTCCAGCCAATATAGCTCGGTTGGGTCATCACGATAGGCAAGCCCGACCACCGCGTCAAGGTAGCAGCTACGGTCGAGCACAAAAGATTTGTAATTATTAATGCTCACACGTAATCAGCGACCCGATTTTAATATGGATACGTATCTATTTCTTAGCCAGATGCATTAATCGTACCAGTAGAAAATAACTAATTATTCATATATGCTTAAGTTTATCGCTTTTGTTTTGTACGTATATGACTACCGGTTAGAACATCAGTCAACTACAACGTAGGACCAGGCACATATATGCATCGGTCCAGGTTGCCATACCGCATCAGCACAAAAAGATGAACACCGGATTCATAGCAGTGGTTAGGTCAAAGGTGGTAATGTATAAAAGAAAGATTGATATAGAGATATAGTACAAGAAAAAATTGGTTCGTAGAAAGAAAGGTATGAAGCGATTTTATTCTTATGGTTTAAGGGAAGACAGGGAGTGTATACACCGATGCCATTGTGATCGATTCTGAGCCATGTCACCCAGAGTCTCCAAACATTCGTTACGATAGTCACGCGGACTCCAACCAAGTAGTCTGCATCTACCAACATGGCTAGGACGAGGAGTTGGTGACTTCAAGCACTGATGCCACGTTTTGGTTTGGCTGCCCCTAACTTTCTTCTAGCCGTCTCCAACATTAGTCAGCATTGTGCGCCGTGGTAATTGGTGGTCGGACATGTGCAATACGTCACCCAACCATCTCAGTCGATGAAGATTCATAACCTCATCAACTGATTTACCATCATTCCCTAATACCCTGCGTCTAATCTGACTATTACTTACCCAGTGATCCCAGCAGACGCCAGCAATATTTCTAATGCATCTGTAATCAAATACCTGTAGCTTACGAATATCTTCTGCTCTTAGTGGCCATGTTTTGCAGCCGTAAAGTAGAATAGAACGGACTGCCGCGCAGTATACTCGTCCTTTTATTGATAGACGGATATCTCGCCTTCGCCACAGGTGACGTAAGTTGGCAAAAGCCAAACGAGCTTTTCGAATCCGTGCTGAGATTTCGTCCGATACCAACCCATTAGGGCTGATCAGACTTCCAAGTTAAGTAAAGTTGTCAACGCGTTCAACTACTTCACTCCCTATCCTTAGTTCGGGTGTTGACGCAGACCAGTCCTGAAGCAACAACTTGCATTTCGAGGGAGAGAAGTGCATTCCAAACATTCTGGCATTGTTGCTCAGTGCTACCAGAAGACTCAGCATTTTGTCAGCGTCTTCACCAAACAGGACTATGTCATCTGCGTATTCTAAGTCGATAAGTGGACCTCCTGGTAGAAGATCAACACCCGAGAATTCAGTAGACGAGAATGTTATTTCCATCAATAAGTCTATGATGAAATTAGTAGATCTATGATGAAATTCGGTTAGAACATAAATTATGTGGTCACAAATTGAACTTTTAATCTGATGGTTTATCACTAATATGATTAAAACGTTAATTGGTGAGTCGAATTCCACCGAGGTTATAAAGCATTAACGCAATAATCAACATAAATTCTGGTACCGGTTAATTTAATTATCCAAATTTTTAATGCTATACTACTTATCAAGTAAAAGTGATATATAAACAATACACAGACTTTAAAATTACAACAAACTCTGAGTACAGTTGCTTATCACTTTGTCAATCATGGACTCAACAGAATATTTCAAATACAGACATTTACTTTTCATGAAGTGTTGCGCAGAAAAGAAATCACTATTAGAAAATACTATAATTGAAATAAATGTTGAAAAAATGAAGCAAATTAATTCATTCCAACACAAAATACTTAAGGGTTGAAAAACAGAACAAACCAAAATATGAAGGATACTTTAAAGAGAAGAGAATCAATTATGCAGGATTTTGATGCATGATTATGAAATGCGATAAATGCTATATATATATATATATATATATATATATATATTTGCTGAGATCAGAAGCAATTTGCAACATGTCAAAATAAAACAATGGGAAGGAGAACCAAATTGGTTCACAGTAAATTTGAATCGGAAGTAACGTAGAGAATGTGAACAACATAATTTCAATGTTTCGAACGGTGGCTGTGTGAAGCTACTCAGTGAGTATAGAAAATACGGTAATACAGCCACTTAGAACGCCAGAGAGAAAATGAATTGTCGAATTTGAATACATACACACCAACACCTGGATACTGATGGCTACCACAATAAACTTCTGTATGACAATCCCTTCTATAGATTGGTATAAGTTCGTCAGTAGGTAAACGCTGTTGTAATGACTTTTTGCCTAATTCCAAATCATGAGATTCTGAATACAAGTAAAAAGTAAATTATTACAGGCAGTGAAAAATGTGTAAGAATGTTTTTTTCTCATTTACGTTTAACATATACCTTGCACACTTATTCTGGACTTCATCGATTTAAGTCAGGTCCCAGTGTAGTATCATCTTTTAGATTATACATCAGACTTACTGAGATTTGTAGACTACACTAATTACAGAAATTAAGAATTACACTACGAACTATATTTTCCGAACAAATAGTGGTAGTACATCGATTTCAACTCTGCACATTCATTCAGTGCAAAACATTTTCTGGCTCCGCATCTATTCAGAAGAGAATACTAAGACGGAACTATTCATTTATGAATAACAATTTTAATTGGAGTACTTTGACTGGCACTGCTGTTTTACCTAACCTCCAATGTGTTCTGTACTTTAGAGTCTCATTGTCAAATTTCGACACAAACCAAGGAACACAAAAACACCTAATAATCCTGTAGAGCTGGAAAGTTTACAAAATAAATCGGAAATAGTAGCACATGTTATGTTCAGTAACCAAGTCGATATTAAAAATATCAAAATAATTCAACGGTTTTTCCAACTATAAAGAAAAGCGATTAGCTAAAGCGTTTCATGTAAAGCTAAAAAAGGCCGAACTATATATCCAACTTGGACTGTTTATCCAAACAACCACATTTACCTCTGTTCGTTCCTCATACATACGCTCAAATTCTAACTACGCTTCTTCATACAACAAATCATACGTTTCTCATACCCATCATCAAACACACAATGATGTCTCATACAGAATCACATTGACCAGAAAGTTCACATGACACTGAAATAATCAAACCTAATCTAATTTTGATTAGACTAAATACTCTGCCTTGTTCCTTTATAATATATAAACTTATGTTAAATCGATTATTCATCTACGTACTCTGAAGAAGTGGCCTACATTAATTCACAAAAGGTCAGAAATCCAAATTTCTACGTCACAAATATATCATTATGATTAACCTCCTATCCAATCCTCGATTTATTTGAAATGAACAAGTCAAACCTTTGTATGGATACCTATAATATTAGTAGAGGTTATTAGTGAAATGATTAGTAAGTTACATGGAAGCTCTGCAGTATTAAATCTAACTATTTCAAAAACCTATCAAAAAACTATCGAATTTTTTGTTCAGCTATCACTTCATATTCTAAGTGGTCAAAACTACGCTTTAAAATAGTGGCTTCGTCTGATTACTGGTCGCTCAAAAACGACGAACGAGATATGCATCCGAAAAAAGTATGTTCACGCACTTGTCATAATTCACATATTACTACTGAAATATTAGTGACATGGCATGTAGTACCAATGATTTTTAGATACAGAAGAGGAACAGCGTCGAATTACTCGCGTGGAGGAGCATAGGCCACCCACAAGCATTCTCTATTTAACTCCATCCTGAGAAAACATCAGTTGCTATTCATCTTTTCGATGTCTGTCTACAATTCCGGAATTAGAGTGTTCTTTGGTCTTCCTCTTTTCCGTTTCCCTCCAGTATTCCGAGTTAGGGCTTGCCTCGTGATGCAGTTTGACGATTTGCGTAATGTATGTCCTATCCAATCCCAGCGTCTTTTTCTAAATTCCTCCTCAGCTGGAACTTGGTTTGTCCTCTCCCACAGTAGGCTGCTGCTGATGGTATCCGGCCAACGGACATTGAGTCTCTTGCGTAGACAACTGTTTGTAAACACTTACACCTTCTTGGTAACAATTGTGGGAGTTCTCGAAGTTTCAGCTCCGTACATTAGAACTTTCTTGATGTTCGTATTGAAGATTTTGATATTGGTTGACAGTTGTTTCGGGTTCCATATGTTCTTCCACTGTAGGAATACTGTTCTTACTTTGCCAATCCTTGCCTTTACATCTGCATCAGATACTCCACGTTTATCGATGGCGCTTCCGGTGTACGTGAAAGATGCCACATCTTCCAATCAAGTGTGATTGGGTTGGTGTTCTCTGTGTTGTATTTGAGAATCTTGCTTTTTACGTTGTGTACACTGATGCAGAAACTGCTGCTACACTACTTGTCTTCATCTGCATTTGTTATTGTGTATGGAATAGAAGGGCCAGATTATCTGCGAAATCCAAATCTTCTAATTGATTCCAATCTGTCCATTGTATTCCGTGTTCCCTCTCAGACGACCAGGTCTTCATAATCCAGTCAACCACCAGAAGAAACAGAAAGGGAGGGAGTAAGCAGTCTTGTCTGACTCTGGTCTTCACTTGGAATGTATCTGTCAGCTGTCTTCCATGGACTAATTTGCACTATAGTCTGTCGTATGAATTCCGGATCATGTTGACAATCTTCTCATGAACTCCATAGTGTCGAAAACGTTTTCATTATGTTCTCCTGTCCACCCTGTCAAACGCCTTCTTATAATCAATGAAGTTGACGTAAAGTGACGGATTCCATTCGATTGATTGTTCAACGATGATCAGTAGTGTTGCGATTCGGTTTCTGCACGACTGATCCTTTACGGAATCCAGCCTGTCGATCTCGAAGTTGGGTGTCTACTGAGTCTTTCATTTGGTTCAGCAACACCCTGTTACAAACCTTTCCTGGTACTGACAGTAGTGTGATGCCTCTGTAGTTCTCACCGTTGCACCGATTCATGCATTGCGTTTAATCTTTCGCAGTAGATGCATATAACATTTCGTGTATGAAGGCGACTATACTGATGACAATTTATTTCGTTAATGCAGATAAGTTAACTACAAGATTATTGGGTTCGATATTTTTGATTCATATCTGGGTTTATGATACTTTCAATTTGTGCACTGCTATTCTCACACATTCCAATAACCTAGTTATTAACTTGCGTTTATTATATGTTAATATACCTCAAAGTCCCATACTAAGATGAAGCGGTCGTCCAGTGCTTCCAGATTTTCCATGGTGGTCTAGCTTTAGTTGATTCATGAATTCAACTATTAAATAATTCTATTAGTTCACTAGGCCACCATAACTTATGTACCAACGTTATTTTAAGTGATACTGAATAGCGCCGACTACTGGGGACTATTTCATCACATTTCTTGACATTGAAACATTTTTACTTATAAATATTTATATGATTTCTTATTTTGGAGTCGTCGAGCGGAAACTTCTGAGTCAACTTTCTAAATTAGTTTATTACCATCATATCTGAGTCATCATCTAGTGTTATCTTGAAGCTTTGATTGATATCTCCGTAGCCGGTGTTGTCCATTCCATCTTGAATGATAGTATTTGAATTACAAATGGATTGTATTTGTAAAGCAGCTTACATTTTATTAGTATATGATGAATCATAGTTGATAAGAAGCAAATGAAACGGTTCATAAGTTACAGTAAGTACACAACATATCTTTTAACAACCTCGTGCTGTTTATTATTTGCACAATCAAACGATATTACATTTGCTACATGACTAAATATGGGCCGTTACCTGAAGAAAAATTAACAAAACGACTTATTCGCTTAATGAATACCGATTAGTTATACACTGAAAAAATCAATATAAACATGTATGATAATCCAATTACGGAATTCAACGTTATGCATAGAAACATAATCTAAATATGGACACTGGTATTCTCACAATCAAAGCTAATTTCCTACCCTTATTTTCGTTTTCAGGCGACGTTTGTTCCATAGAATTCCCATTACTAGGTCCTTCTTCATCCTCATCTTCACCGCCTTCTTCATCACTTGACTCCGAAATATTAACAGAAATATTTTCAGGCGGTTCCAAATCCCATTCAAAATACAATCCAAAACCTAAGTCATAATTGTCTGTAGCAAATTCCCAACATATTGCTTTCCCACTAGGATGAGTTGGAACACGTACCTAGAAACGAGAATATAAATAATTATAATACAACATTATCGAACCGCTATCAATGTGAACTATAACATATACAAAAACTTGGATAGTTACAGTTAGTAAGGATTCGTAATACAGAAGAAATATTAGTTCAAAAATGAAGAATATTTGAGCGAACAAGTATTTTCAATAACTTCACCATCAGGCTCTACAGTTATAAGTCCACAATTATCGTGATATTTTAGAAACGTCAAAATAAGACATGTATTAATGAATTTGACACTATATATTAAAAATAGTGAACGTTTGCATCTGTTATGACATATACACCTCAAAATTGTGTTATTTATAAATTAGAAGGGTCATTTAATAAAGGTTGTAGAAGACGACGCTCAGTCTGGCTGCATTAAATTTTTTTGTACTGCATTTCGTAACCTATGAGTCACGATTTCTTCAGTAGTATCATTTGAGAATTGTAATTTTAAGAACAATACTTTCTTCGAAACGGTAAATAAATTTCGTTGGGTACCAATTCCTACTAAGCAAGTTACGAATATTAACCAATTCATCTACAAGAATGTCATCCGAGCAAATCATTCTAGCACGATGAGTCAGGAACTTTATCAATTTTTTTTGTATTAGATCGGTACTGCACTATAGAAATGTGTGTATTGTCCAGCTGTAGACTTTCTGTGTAACCCTCTTCTTAATGTTCCATCTGTTTGTCTAGTTAGTTGGAAATCTAGAAACGACATGCTATTGTTCTTTTCTTTGTTCAGTGTAAAATTAATTGATGAATGAATGTTATTAAATATATTAAATAAATTCTCCTTTTCATGTTCTTTTTTCTATACTATGAAAGTATTATCCATATAGTGACAATAAGATGTTAAATGTTGATCGATTTAGTAACTCCAATCATACTGGTGACTCCGCCCGTAGCTCTTCTAGAGTTACTGCCGGTCTCAAGCACGGTTAAAGGAGGAGGGTTGGGCATAGGGTTAGCGAACCCATCCGTAGAAAACTGACTCGCTAAAAAAATGCTAACCAGAAAAAATAATCCAAACCATTTCAACTCTGCTCTGGGAGTTAGGTCTTCATTTAGAAGAACTATGACGCCTCATGGTGAAAGCGAGTTCCTTCGGAAGCCACGAGGCCGATGCCCCTTCTAACAACCACAGCAACAATTTTCATAGGTACATGGGACGTCCGAACAATGTGGGAGACCGGGAAGACCAGTCAAATAGCAACGGAAATGAGGAGATACAACTTGGCAGTACTGGCAATGAGAGAAACCCATTGGACCCAAGCTGGACAACAAAAGCTAGATACGGGAGAGTTCCTGCTATACTCCGGTCACGAACAGGAAAATGCTCCACACACTCAGGGACTTGCTCTAATGCTGTCCAAAGTAGCACGAAATGCACTTGTAGGATGGGAATCTCACGGATCCAGAATCATCAAAGCATCATTCAAAACAAGGTAGGAGGGGATCACAATGAATATTATCCAATGTTATGCACCCAACAATGATAGCAACGACGACATTAAAGATCAATTCTACGAGCGGCTGCAGTCAACCATAGAGAAGTGCCCAAGAAAGAATCTCACCATTCTGATGGGAGATCTAAATGCCAAAGTCGGAGTAGACAACACCGGATATGAAGATATCATGGGACGACATGGATTGACTGTGAGAGAGAAAAGAAAATGGGAAGAGATTTGCAAATCTGTGTGCATTCAGCAAATTGGTCATAGGAGGCACAATATTTCCACACAAACGTATACACAAAGCTACATGGATCTCACCAGACCACACCACAGAGAACCAGAAAGATCATATTTGCATCAATAAAAAGTTCCGAAGGACAATGGAAGATGTGAGAAGCAGTAGAGGAGCTGACATAGCTTCAGATCACCACCTAGTTGTGGCTAATTTAAAACTGAAGCTAAAGAAAAACTGGACAAACAGCACTACAAAGGTTCAATACGGCCTTCCTTCGAGATACTGACAAACTCAATGAATTCAAGATAGCTCTCAACAACAGGTTCCAAGCCTTACAGGATCTACTGAAGGAAGAAGAAACTACTATGGAGGACAACTGGAAAGGTATCAAAGAAGCACTAACGTCAACGTGTCAAGAGGTTCTTAGCCTCAAGAAGCATCATTATAAGGGATGGACCTCTATAGGAACACTGGACAGGATTCAAGACAGGTAGAACAAGAAGACATCAATCAACAACAGTCGAACAAGAGCACAGAAATTCAAAGCACGAGTTGAATACACTGAAGCAATCAAGCGAGTGAAGAGGAGCGTTAGAGCCGACAAGCAGAAATACGTGGAAGAACTAGCAACGACGGCGGAAAAAGCTTCAAGAGAAGGAAATATGAGAAAGTTGTGTGATACACCGAAGAAACCAGCAGGGAAATATTGTAAACCAGAGGGACCAGTCAAGGACAAAGAAGGCAAGACATTCACCGAGACTTAAGAACAAAGGAACAGACGGGTAGAATACATCGAGGAACTCTTGAATAAACCTTCCTCATTGAATCCACTGGACATTGAAGCAGCACACTTAGATCTTCCTATAGATTTCTCTCCACCAATGACGGGGAAAATCAGAATGCCCATCAGACAAATCAAGAGCGGGAAAGCAACAGGACCAGACAATATACCAGCTGAAGCACTGAAGTCAGACATCGAAGTAACTACAAACATGCTTCACATTCTATTCAAAAAGATTTGGGAGGAAGAACAAATGCCGACGGACTGGAAAGAAGGATACCTCATCAAGATTGCAAAGAAAAGAGATCTAAGCAAATGTGAAAACTACAGAGGCATCACACTGCTGTCAGTACCAGGAAAGGTTTCTAACAGGGTGTTGCTAAACCAAATGAAAGACTCAGTAGATACCCAACTTCGAGATCAACAAGCTGGATTCCTTAAGGATCGATTGTGCACAGGCCAAATCACGACACTACGGACCATCGTCGAACAATCAGTTGAGTGGAACTCTTCACTGTACATCAACTTCGTTGATTATAAAAAGACATTTGACAGTGTAGATAGGACGTTATCCCGATCGAAGCTGCTACCTTGACGCGGTGGCCGGGCTTGCCTATCGTGATGACCCAACCGAGCTATATTGGCTGGAAAATATGTTCCTGTAGGTTCTCCCATGCCAGGCAGGTCGATTGGAGAATGGTAAGACTAAAAGCAGCAACTCAAGGTCTGAGGGCGAAGTCGTACTGCTGACTGTACAGAGGTGTGACAACCGTAAGGTGTTTCCCTCGGACAACCAGCATGACAGCGATGCTGCCTTCCCACAAGGAGGGGTGGGGTTAGAAAAGGTCGACCCTAAAAATGTCACACCTCACATTACCTCACGGATTTCCGTCTCCGGCGGTAAGGCCCTTTGAAGAACGGAGCTAACACGTCAAAAACCTTCCACGAAAAGGCCGTGCGCGACCGGTCTCAAGCAGTTGTCCCTTGGGCACTGCGGTCACGCTCCCAGGTCGTCAAGACCAACACTAACCCAATTTCCTTTTCAGGTTCCTCAAGAAATACCCTTCCACGGTATGAGCAGCCGGGAAGTGATATCAGCCCTCATACCCGTAACAGCACAAGAGACCAAGTCGGTCACATTCAAATCCTTCCTACACCTCCTAATGCCTCTCTTATCTCCATGACTAACCCTCCTCACGTCTCTTTATCACCTCGCACCGCTAGGGCAAACGATTCGAGTACGTGGAACGCCATTCCTGGTCTCCTGAAACCACGCTCTAAACTACACGTAGGAGCTTTTAACGTACGAACACTTTGCCAAATAGGACAGCAGGCTTCCTTAGCTAAAACTTTAGAATCTCGCGCCATCGATGTGTGCTGCGTCTCCGAAACGCGCATACAGGATCCAAGTAGCGTCATTCATTTGACCTCACCATGCCAAAATAAAGAACCGACTCGATTTACGCTTCGTGTATCTGGAAGCCCTGATTCTGCTTCCCGTGGCCTCGCCGGCGTAGGTATAGCATTGAGTCCTAGGGCAGAACTAGCTCTCTTAGAGTGGATCCCAGTAGACAGTCGTTTGTGCGCTGTCCGACTGAACGGAACAGTAAGAATCCGGAAAGATAGGGACACTCGTCGTTGCCTCTTCGTCGTCTCTGCCTATTCTCCCACTGACTGCAGCTCAGATGATGTAAAAGATGAGTTTTACAGAAAGCTTTCGGACCTTCTCCGAAAAGCTAGGCGCTCGGATGTAGTAATAGTGGCCGGTGACTTTAATGCTCAAGTAGGTAAACTAAACGATACGGAAAGACACCTAGGTGGATCTTATGGTGTCGTGGCTCAAAGAACAGATAATGGCGACCGTCTGTTGCAGCTATGCTCAGATAACCGCCTGTTCCTTGCAAATACTAACTTTAAGCATAAGGAAAAACATCTTTTAACATGGCGACCCCCTAATTCGTCCCAACGTTGGACCCAAATAGATCACATCGCTATCAGCCACCGATGGAGGGGCTCGATAGAAGACTGTCGCTCATTCTGGAGCACATGCCTAGATTCAGATCATGCTCTAGTGCGAGCGCGTATTTGCTTGCGTCTTACTGGACGTAGGAAAGACGCTGCAAGGAAACCTCTTAGGGCCTACTTAATGATAGTCAAGCTAAGAGTATATTTCAGGAACAACTAGGAAAACAGTTAGGCAGCCATGTATGTGATGCCCACCCCGATGCAGCATGGAATGATATCCGAAAAGCTGTGGAAACAGCAGTGATATCTGCTAGTAAGGTAAACCAGAAGGTTAGGGAGCAACACTGGATCTCAGCAGCATCTATCGCACTGATAGATGCTCGGAAACTCATTCCACCTGGCTCTGAACATAATGAAGAGCGGAGTCAGCTTAAGCGCAAGCTGACAAGAAGTCTACGCAATGATCGCGAACAGTGGTGGGTAGCGAAAGCAAGAGAGATGGAAAAGGCAGCGGCAATAGGTAATAGCAGACAATTGTTCAGACTCGTTAAGGAAACCGGAATTAGGAACCCGACCGTTAGCGAAACAATCTCAGAGAAAGATGGACATATTATTCATTCTCAATCCAGGAGATTGGATCGATGGGCAGAACACTTTAGGGATCAGTTCAACTGGCCTTCAGCCACACTTCGGTTTCCCACGATCTCCAGTCAACCTGAATGGCAAGTTAATGTAGGTCCTCCGTCCCTTTACGAAGTTGAAAAAGCCATAGGAAATCTGAAACGAGGGAGAGCAGCAGGCCCTGACAGGTTTACTCCTGAGATTTTTAAGGATGGTGGTCCAGTATTAGCAATGAGATTAACTGAGGTCTTAGGTAGAATTTGGGAACTGGACGTAATCCCATCTGACTGGTCTCAATCACTGATTGTGCCAGTCTATAAGAAAGGACAAAAGTCCTCTTGTGACAATCACAGAGGAATCAGTTTGACTAATATAGTGTCTAAAATATTAGCTTCAATAATACTTCGACGCCTAATCAAAGCTCGTGAAGAGCAGACTAGAGAAAACCAGGCTGGTTTTCGACCTGGACGTGGTTGTATAGATCAGATATTCACACTACGTCAGGTTCTAGAACACAGACACACATTCAGACGCCCCACAATGGTAGTATTTCTCGACCTTAAGGCGGCATTCGACTCTGTTGATCGTGAGGTTCTATGGCAGTGTTTGTCACTGAAAGGAGTACCAAAGAAGTACATTAACCTTATAAAGGCTCTCTACTCGAACACAACTGGTAGAGTGAGAGCTTATGGCGAACTGTCATCAGAATTGATTACCTCAAGTGGTGTTCGTCAGGGCTGTCCACTCTCCCCATTCTTGTTCAACTTTGTGGTCGACGTACTTTTAGAGATAACACTCTCCTCATCTAAATTTCCAGGGGTTGAACTTCTACCAGGAGGTTCACTTGTTGACTTAGAATATGCTGATGACATAGTTTTATTTGGTGAAGACGCTGACAAAATGCAGAGTCTTCTGACCACTCTAAGCAACAATGCAAGCATGTTCGGGATGCGATTCTCTCCCTCGAAATGCAAAATGTTGCTTCAGGATTGGGTTACATCGACACCCGAACTAGTGATAGGGAGTGAAGTAGTTGAGTGTGTCGACCGCTTCACTTATCTTGGAAGTCTCATCAGCCCTTGTGGTTTAGTGTGTGACGAAATCTCAGCACGGATACAGAAGGCTCGACTAGCTTTTGCCAACTTGCGTCATTTATGGCGTAGGCGAGATATCCGTCTATCAACCAAAGGACGGTTTACTGCGCAGCAGTTCGTTCCGTCCTACTTTATGGCAGTGAAACATGGCCGGTAAGAGTAGAGGATATTCGTAGGTTACTAGTATTTGATCATAGGTGTCTTCGAAATATTGCTCGTATATCATGGGACCATCGAGTAAGTAACTCAGTTGTTAGGAAACGGGTACTAGGTAAGGATGGCAAATCAATTGATGAAGTAGTGAAACTTCATCAGTTGAGATGGCTGGGACACGTGTTACGTATGCCCAACGACCGACTGCCTCGACGTGCTATGTTCAGTGGTATAGGAGTAGGTTGGAAGAAAGCTAGGGGCGGCCAAACCAAAACATGGCACAAGTCCATGAAGTCACTGACAAGTGGACTGAGTCATGTTGGTAGGTGTAGACTACCTGGTTGGGGACCGCGAGATGATAGCAACCGATGGTTAGAGACCCTGAATGACATGGCTCAAAATCGTTTGCAATGGCGCAGGTGCATCCACTCTCTGTGTTCTCCCAAATTCTAATCTTCTGAATTCTTCATGTCCCTTTTTTCCTCTTTCCAAATTTATTTCACTGGATTATACTCTTTAAATAACATCTCCAAACCCTAATCTTCCCGATTACTGCTTATACTCTTGCTACCTCTACCACTACGGGATTTGAATCGACAACTGCATCTCTGTGCTAATGTGGTGTGGCAACTCGAACTGATGTACATACGTACGAAGTTCTACGTTGTTACTGACTGACTGACTGAGATAGGACGTTATGGAAACTTCTTCGACACTACGGAGTTTATGAGATTGTCAGCATGATCCGGAACTCATACGACGGACTACAGTGCAAGGTCGTGCATGGAAGACAGCTGACAGATGCATTCCAAGTAAGGACCGGAGTCAGATAAGACTGTCTACTCTCTCCCTTTCTCTTTCTTATGGTGGTCGACTGGATTATGAAGACCACGACACCTGAGAGGAAACATGGGATACAATGGACAGATTAGAATCAATGAGAAAATGTTTACTTCGCAGATGATCTGGCTTTTTTATCCCATACACAATAACAAATGCAGAAGAAGACAAGTAGTGAAGCAGCAGTCTCTGCATCAGTAGGATTCAATATACACAAGGGGAAAACCAAGGTCTTCAAATTCAAAACAAAAACAGCAATCCAATCACTCTTGATGGCGAAACTCTGGAAGATGTAGAATCCTTCACATAACTGGGAAGCATCATCGATAAACGTGGAGTTTCTGATGCAGATGTAAAGGCAAGGATTGGCAAAGTAAGGACAGTATTCCTACAGTGGAAGAACATATGGAACCCGAAACAACTGTCAACCAATATCAAAATCTTCAATACGAACATCAAGAAAGTTCTAATGTACGGAGCTGAAACTTCGAGAACTACCACAATTGTTACCAAGAAGGTTCAGGTATTTATAACTAGCTGTCTACGCACGATACTCAACATCCATTGGCCGGATACCAGTAACAGCGTTTTGTGGGAAAGAACAAACCAGCTTCCAGCTGAAGAGCAAATTAGGAAAAGACGATGGAAATGGATAGGATATACATTACGCAAATCGTCAAACTGCATCACGAGGCAAGCCCTAGCTTGGAATCCTGAAGGAAACGGAAAAGAGGAAGGCCAAAGAACACATTAGGTCGAGAAATAGAAGCAGATATGAAAAGGATCAATAGGAACTGGAAGGAGCTGGAAAGGATTGCCCAGGACAGGGTTGGATGGAGAGTGTTGGTGAGCGGCTTATTCTCCTTCACGAGGAGTAACAGGCGTAAGTAAGTAAGTAAGTAATCATGCTGGTGCATGTTTACGATATTATTATCACTACGATTGATATTCTTATCATTACCTCAATTAACAAGATGAAATTCTCTTACTAGGCATTTTATTTACACGATTTCCGTTTCATTTTTGCTATATTACTGTTATACTGATTGGGACTTGACACTATTATGAATCATTTGCCTTTTATTAAATGACCCTTCTAATTTATAAATAACACAATTTTGAGGTGTATATGTCATAACAGATGCAAACGTTCACTATTTTCAATATATAATGTCAAATTCATTAATACATGTCTTATTTTGACGTTTCTAAAATATCACGATGATTGTGGACTTATAACTGTAGAGCCTGATGGTGAAGTTATTGAAAATACTTGTTCGCTCAAATATTCTTCATTTTTGAATATTCTATTGGGATTCTTAAACCGCTGAAATATTGGTTCATTAATTCATGATGTGACCACAGGTGACCTCAGAAATATAATGCGTATTGCATACATTTAGATCAATGTGGTTTAATCGTAACGTAATTCGTCTATACTACTTTATTAACAATTTAAGAAAACGATCCAACATTCAAGTGCCTTTGTGCAAAAGTGAACATGACCGCCATAGATTATTTGATACAATTACTACTTAGTTGTACTCAAGATAAATGTCATTTTGTTGCCATTAGGACCACCATATAAATACTAGTAGTTAAGACATTCCAGGTGTAGAATATCAATCTTGAAGATAAATTTGTTGTCTTTGGATGTAATATGATAGAATCTCGTTAACGAAAATATGCTCTGAAAAGATAGTCATGTAACATCAATCTGTATCCGGGCTGAATACTTTTGGCTCATATTGTGAGATAAATTAAAGAAAACCGGTGTACCAAAAATCAATAGTGAAAAAATCAACCAAGATATATTCTATATTCGTTAATTCCATTTTAACAGCATGTCCTAAAACCGCTAATGGAATACCTAAGACTATTCTCCATATTTATATGAGATCCTAGAATTTGGCGGAGTTGTCAATATGCATTATTCATATCACTGTTAATATAGTTACTTTTTCATAATTTCAGAAGCCTCAAGTCACTGATGACAACACATACAAACATATGGATGTCCGGTATGGTAAACATATAGAGCTTAAACTAAGATAATCTTTTTTTCTTCATTTCTGAGTTTAAAAGTCCAAGTTAAAGTCTCCTTTTTTCAATTTACCCAACGATAACTGTTGGTATAAAGGGTGGATAGATGCCTTGATGTTTTAAAATATTCATTCAGGTCATAAAGTGAAGTGGTTCAGTTTTAAAAATCGAGTGAAATCCGTAATAGCTATACGAAAAATTCGACTAGAAGATTAGCGCCTAGTTTATTCATAGAATTTATATATTAAACAATCAAGTTTATTTCTCTAACAAATTATTAAGTATAACATTTACGTATCGCAAAGTATCGAGCTCAAATCATCATAGAATGACCAGCTAAGTAATGAAATCAATAAGAAAATATACTGTGAGACTTACTGTTGCAGTTGCTAAAGAATTTATCTTTATACAACATTCCTTCTGTACATCGAGAATTTCTCGTTTGAACTCTGCAATATCTTTACGAGTCCATATTGTTGCAGGAATGAGAGGTAATGGTTCTAGAAAATCTTCAGATATATAAACAAAGGATTTTTTTTTACAAAAACTGGCGTTTAGTCACCCTGATGCACTGATTTACTTTTGTGTTTACCGATATTAATTCGTCATTTTGAACAAACTTTTAGCTACCATACACCTATCCAAAAGTCTATGTGAACCCTTATCGTAGAATGAGAAGAAATTAAGCAGTATAGCAAACAGGTTTAAAGTCTGGATCGATAATTATTTCCATAGACTGAAAGTTGCAGGGCGATAATCAGTGATCTAGATTTATTATTATTAGTCATTGCCTTTATACTTAACTATTTAATCATTACTCATTGAATTACTCACAATCATGTTAGTAGTTTACTTTTTTTGTAAAGAAATACCAGTGTTTTGCTTTATTCGGTCAAGGAATAGGCCTTTTCAATGTTCACTCGGTTATGAGTTGAGGAATTGCTTTGTCACCATCTAATTCGGAAATATATAACTAGTGATCAATAACAAACTAAAATATAACCATTTTACGAAGCAATAGTGTTCTTTACTGTCTCACATCAACTCGGCACCCAAATACTGTGAAACAATTCGATCAAATTTAGACGAAAGTTCTTATAGTCTTCAGTTAGTCAGTCAGTCAGATACAACGTAGGACCAGGCACATATATGCATCGGTCCAGGTTGTCATACCGCTCTTATAGTCTTCTGTTACGTTAAATTAATCTAGTGCAATTAAGAAATGATGGATTACAAAACATCAATCCAACGAATAAATTTGAAAATGAAATTATCCTGGATATACTATTTACATTACGTAAAGAAGTTGTCGAAAGTTGATTAGGATTGAGAATCGGCTTCGTTCCAGTTTTATGTTGGTTTTCCCTACAGACATCAATGAAAGCTTCAAGATAACACTAGATGATGACTCAGATATGATGGTAATAAACTAATTTAGAAAGTTGACTCAGAAGTTTCCGCTCGACGACTCCAAAATAAGAATCATATAAATATTTATAAGTAAAAATGTTTCAATGTCAAGAAATGTGATGAAATAGTCCCCAGTAGTCGGCGCTATTCAGTATCACTTAAAATAACGTTGGTACATAAGTTATGGTGGCCTAGTGAACTAATAGAATTATTTAATAGTTGAATTCATGAATCAACTAAAGCTAGACCACCATGGAAAATCTGGAAGCACTGGACGACCGCTTCATCTTAGTATGGGACTTTGAGGTATATTAACATATAATAAACGCAAGTTAATAACTAGGTTATTGGAATGTGTGAGAATAGCAGTGCACAAATTGAAAGTATCATAAACCCAGATATGAATCAAAAATATCGAACCCAATAATCTTGTAGTTAACTTATCTGCATTAACGAAATAAATTGTCATCAGTATAGTCGCCTTCATACACGAAATGTTATATGCATCTACTGCGAAAGATTAAACGCAATGCATGAATCGGTGCAACGGTGAGAACTACAGAGGCATCACACTACTGTCAGTACCAGGAAAGGTTTGTAACAGGGTGCGATATCGATAGTTCCTGGGTTGGAATCGCGCGGGCGAGATCGTGGATGCGCACTGCTGAGGAGTCCCTTACTAGGATGAAACGGTCGTCCAGTGCTTCCAGGTTTTCCATGGTGGTCTAGCATTAATTAAATCATGAATTCAGCTATTAAATTACTAAAATCTTCACAAAAGACACTTCTGATAATAATAGAATTACATAAAATGAATTTTCAAACTGATAATCCGTTTATATGACTTAACCGGGTGAGTGCAAACATTTAAAATAGGAAATGAGAGTTTTTATTTATACACTAAACATCTAAATAAAGTAGTAGAACTGAGTTACTTGTCAGTCAACAACCTAATTATTAAAATAAAAGTGGTCATTCAATGTTCCCCGTCATAACACCATGATCATCGTTACACGGGAAAACCAGCAAAGCAATAAGTAGGACAGCTTAGGTGAAAGTCATAACTAAAAATGGGAGAGTAGATTTATACAGAAAATATTGTAAACTACATTTGAAAAGTGTTGAAAAAAGAACAGTGAACTTTTCAATTTTAACGAAGGAGTAATATACTCAATTAATGAGTGAACAAACTGAATATGATCATCAGTCGTATACAACGTAGGACCAGGTACATAAAAGCACGCCCTGTGTTCTGAAATCAAACGAATGGTAAATATTTGGTCAATGTAACCTGCAAGTCAGACTGATTTTCCCGTGTTTGTGGTTCACAAGTCTTTGTTGGGCACTCGATAATTATTGAGGCTAGTACTTTAGATCCTATGTTATTTATTTATTTATTTGAACACATAAATATTGGTACAAGAGAGCGCCAATATATATGCGCCACACAAAACAATGAGAACTTAAAGAGAAGAAAAAAGAAAAAAATTAAGGAGGGCAAAAAAAGAGAACAATAACGAAGAGATTGGTGTAAGGTAGTGTAATAATAATAATAGTAATAATGGGGGAACGGAAAGGTACAATCAGAAGAAATCTTTCAGTTAAGGAAGACACAACCACTTTTTATGAAGAAAGTAAAAAAGGTTACAGCAGGATCGCCACTGGCTTCTATTCTGAGCCATATCTGATAACGTCTCTAGCCACTGTGTAGCACCATCTCTCGGACCCCAACCAGGGAGTCGTGAAGGACCAACACAAGCCAGTCCTTTGCAGCTTTCTTTCATGCCACGACACCATGTCATGCACTGACCACCTCTCCGCTTCTTCCAACCAGTCCCAGAGTCGGCAAATAATGCACGACGTGGAATTCTCTGGGACGACATTCGGAGAACATGTCCAAGCCACCGAAGTCGGTGTTTCAAGATGGTGACACCAATTGATTATCATCTCTGTGCCCGAACACACGATGCCGAACCTCTGCATTACTGACATGGTGTTGCCACTGAATGTCAGCAATCCTTCGGAGACAGCGATGATCGAACACAGAGAGTCGTCTAACGTCCTCAACTCGGAGAGGCCAGGTTTCACAAGCATAGAGCAAAACTGCTCTCACCGACGCGTTGTAGATCCGACCTTTTACAGCCAGACTAACATCACGAAGGCGCCAAAGGTGGCCCAGATTGGCATAAGCCGCTCTGGCTTTCACTATTCGTGCATTGATCTCATCACTCACACCCCCACCAGCACTTATGCAGCTACCCAGATACACGAACTTCTCAACTACGTCTATCTGCTCACCATCCAGGGTGAGTACAGGATTAGAATCCTGCCAGTCTTGTAGAAGTACTTTGCACTTCGAAGGTGCAAAGCACATACCATACCTACGGACACTGATTGCCAACTGATTAAGTGCGGATTGCATGCCTTGGGCATTATCGCACAGTAAGACAATATCGTCCGCATACTCAAGGTCGAGAAGTCTTTCTCCAGGCAACAGATCCACACCACCATTACTTACATTCATCAGAGCTGTTTCCAGAATGTCATCGATGGCAAAGTTGAAGAGGAATGGTGAGATTGGGCAACCCTGCCTAACCCCACTGCTCGAATGGAACAATGGAGAGAGGTGGTTGTATGCCCTCACTCTGCCTGAGGTGTTTTATATAGGGCTTTTAGGATGTTAATAAACTTCTCAGGCACACCCTTCTTCAATAGACAATCCCAGAGAACAGTCCTGTCCAACGAATCGAAGGCAGCCCTGATGTCAAGAAACACTACGATTGTTGGCCTTTGATAAGTATGGCGGTGTTCTAACATTTGGCGGAGGGTGAAGATATGATCAATACATCCTCGACCAGAACGAAACCCAGCCTGCTCCTCGCGAGTCAATCTTTCTCGGGTTTTGAACAACCTACGAAGTATGACGGAAGCCAATAGCTTGGACGCAATCGGAAGTAGACTTATCCCCCGATAGTTGTTACAGGAACGACGTGAACCCTTTTTAAAGATAGGGACAACTATCGACTCATTCCATGACGTTGGTACACTCTCTAGTTCCCAAACCTTTGTAAACAACGTCGTCAATTCCTTAGTCAAAAAGTCACCACCATCTTTAAAAAGAGCCGGAGGTAAGTCATCTGGGCCAGGTGATTTGTAACGCTTCAAGAGTTGGAGTTCCTTGCGGACTTCCTCCTCATTTGGTGGATCAGTCGTCACCGGCCATGGAGGGCAGGACAGTCTGACCGATGTTGCCGGAGCAGCAGGCCAGTTGAACTGCCCTTCGAAAAATTCTGCCCATCGTCCAAGACGTCGATGGATGTTAGTGATTGGCATCCCATCATCCTCGCAGATTGTTTCACTCACACCAGACTTCTTGCTGCCAGTGGCTCGGATGAGTTGGAAGAGCTTCCGGTAGTTACCAGATGCAGCTGCTGCTTCCAGCTCATTAGCACGCTTCGACCACCAGGCTTCTCGGTCCTTACGCAAGCTTTGCCCCATTTCCTTACGTAACATTCCTGCTTGTGGTCAAACTCACGGTCACCCGGAGTAGACCGACGGGCTTCAATGAGTTGTAAGGAACCAGAAGAAACCCAGTGCTTAAAGCGGGACGTTTCGCAAACCCACAACTGACTGTTCCCGCCATTTTCATGGCGTCATGCAATTGCAACCAATGCTCATCTATACTTTTCGGTGGAGTGGTAGCTAGCTAGCCTAGAGGCTAGCTCGGTTCGATACTTACTTGCAACAGAAGTTGCAACCAGCTTGCTAACATCAATCCGTTGGTGGCGGTCACTTCGTTGTCCACTGAAAAGTAAGGTAAGATTGGCGCAGACCAAGGCATGGTCAGAGTCCAGATAGGTACTCCAAAAGGAGCGGCAGTCTTGTACACAACCACGCCAGCGGTAGCTGATCGCGATGTGATCAATCTGAGTCCAGGCTTGAGATGCAGAGGGAGGACGCCAGGTGGCACATCGGCGATGACTGTGCCGAAAGTTAGTGCTAGCCAGAAACAGGTTGTGGTCTGTGCACAGTTGCAGTAGACGGTCCCCGTTATCTGACCTGCGACCAACGAGTCCCCATCGGCCACCTAAACGACTCT